TACCCCAGTGTTCCAGCGTTTCGTCCACGAAGCCATTCCTAATGCTGGACTTACCTAAAAAGCGCAGCCTTTTCGAACGAAACGGCAAGTTTTTGGAAAAGTTGTCCCGTTTCGTTCAACCCCGAATCGTCTCCTCTTACAGTAATCGTATGCGTCAACTTATCAAGAGTCGAAAGGGGCGGTTTAACTCTGACCAGCTTAGATAACCTGAAAAGGACCGAATGCATAATCCAGAACGAACCCAATTGCTATGACTGTTTTTTTTTGTTTCCCACTCTATGTATAGCGCATAGGAATCGCCAAAGCCTCTAAGACGAGCCCTTGCTTGTTCACACAAACTCATAACTACCCCCCCCCCCCCCCTTATCTACAGGCATATGCCATATCAATGCCATTACAGAGATGATTGTTACGACAACAAAATCGCCGCATTGTCTCCGTCCCGCAACGTTTTGTCGCGTCGTCAGCACTGCGCTGGAGACGCTCTTTCTAGATCCCGGAGATCTCTACCTCTACATGTTATCAACAGATCAGGGCAATGCTGAATCATCATTATCATCATCAGTGCATCAGGCAAAGCTGTTGCTGTGCCAAAGCAAGCCACCATCGTCACCGGCCGAAATATTATAACGCTGGCTGCATCGCGGTGCCCACCGCTGCCAGACGTCCTCCGCGATTTGTACACTCCCTCCGTAGATGCTCTGTATAACATCAGCCGTGGTCGGCCAGTCGGCCAACCGGCCAGCCAGCGGCCACAGCGTGCTCCCCCAGCAGAACTCGGCGGCCCTGTTGCTTGACGCTCGCTGCTGCCGTCGTCGTTACCGCTGCTGCCTCGAGTAGCCCGCTATCTCCGTCAAGCGCAGAAAGCATCGAGCATCGGGGCGATTGGAGATCCTCCCATGTCGGCCAGCTAAAGGCGACATAGGCTCTGCGTCATCAACGCTCGATACTCTACGCGTTACGCACAGCGCCCGCTGCGATGTTCAATGTAACGTCGGCCGGAGTGGCATCCCCTGTCGAATGGATGCGCACGAAGCTCTTGTCGACTCTCCTCCCCATCATTACTCGACAGGCAGAGCGACTGAACGGCGCAGTTCGTTCTCGGTCAGTCTTTGGCAGCGTTCGTCTGTGTGCGCACTCTAGCCACGGTCTCGATGGAGAGACGCGAGTCCTATAGGACGTTCTGATAGCCATGTGGAGTAGATCGCAGTTTCCACATAGTCAAACACATCGTCCCGTAGTCGTAGCGACTAGTGACTGCTGCTGCTGCTGCTGTTGCCAGCCTCCGTGGGCCGTTCGCTCGATCGCCTGGAGCTGGGCGCCGCCGTTCGTCGTAGGCCGTAGGTTTGCGGTCTCGTTGTGCGCTGGCCCCAGCAGCGGCGTCGTGAGCAGCCGGAGCGCCGCCGTTCCGCGCTGTTGACGCAACACATCCAGCACGGCCAGCCAGCGTATCCTCCTCTCCCTCGCATGTGGAGTACCCCCTGGCCGTGGAGAGGAGGAGATCCACAAACTGCGGTCGGCTTTTGAACACTCCGTGGTAGAATATATCAGGCCGGGACTACATTAGGCGCTAGCCCGGACAACACTCGACTCATGGATCAGACAGACGTGTGACGGCGCTCCGCATGCTCGCATGTGGAGTGAACTGGACTAAATTGGAGCGGAGCTCATGGGAGTCGAGTTAGGTAGCGGCACATGCTGATGCTGAACAACAACGATAACAAGTGACGACGAACTGCCGTACACCGCAAAATAACAACGGCCGTAACAAGAACGACGGGCCGGGTCCGTTACCGTACAATTGTCTCTCGAACATCTGCTCGTTGGCTAGCATCCTTGCTGAACTGTCAGAATGGTCTGCTCATAGAGTCTATGTGGATTGGTGTGCTTATGTACGTTTGTGCTACAATGCTTGTTCCCTGTGCTCTGTGTTTATTTCTACTGAACGTTCTTTTGCCTGTAATTGTTTCATTCACCGTTGGAACCACTGTGGGCGGCGCTGAGTAAAAAGGTATCTTGACTATAATCTACTAGGCATCGTAGATGTTATTCCAAGGTTAACTTATATTATGTGTACGTAAAAGGTTTTCTCTGGCATTATGGAAGTACTTTTGTTTAGAATATCGTTATGCTGCACGGAACTGATATACATCTGCAATGCGTATTACAATGTGAGCATCTTCTAAGCTTGCTCATTAGTCACTAGTAAGAGCGCGCACGTATATTCTTCGCAGAAAGCCTTCAGAAACGAGCAGATACAAGAGCAATAGATGAACTAGGAAATATTTACTTCACTCCCGATTAATTCACGTGTTCTGCACGTGCCCGGCTTGCACGCATAAATTACCCTTTAAGCCCTTAGGACATAGCCAACATAGTAATATGCCTATTTCGCTAAATAAACCTACGTTCCTAATCGACATATACATAGCTATACAAATGCTGGAGGCATTCGCGAAAGAAGTAGACACAGATCAGAGTGAACTAGTTTTGAGGTATCCCGGTAGCACCTGCTACGCGGATGCTGTTATCGGTTTATTTTTGTCTGCATGTCTGACTGCGCCATTTACGCTTGATTCAGGCACACAGTGACATGTAGCAGCGCGTTCTGTCCGGTTCGTCTTGAGTTGATCGGTACCTACCCAGACCTCTGTGTTGTGATAGGTTCGTTTAGGCGCCGCCTGCAGAAGCCAGTAGTTCAACAGGTGGTTGACTCAGCGGAGCAGCGAGTATGGCGGCGTTTAATCGCGATTTCACTAGCTACAAGTGACGAACCTTTGCGGCTTGGCCGACATAATCGTTAGATTCATTTGAATACGAAATAGATTCCGTTATAGCGGAGAGAAGGACAAAACTGTCGACAGCTATATATATATGAATCCTAATGAAGTTTTCACGAAGCATCTAGTGATATTGTAACGGTAAATTTCAAGAAGACCTTTTGCAAGTAGGTAGATATAAGAGAGTCTGGTGTGAACGGCTTGCAAGAAACAGGTCAAAGTCGGTTTAGTGAACTACACTTAAATTTACCCTAACGCAAATATAACGCACCAATTAACCGATACTCATGATTAAGAATGAGCATCCCTTGCTGGCCGATCGAATGATTTAGCCGCTACCTGTCACACAGGTACTTAAATTACGGCCATGATTTACTTAATTACTGAATCCTTAAGTGAATAACATCATGTAGTCTTCAATGTCTTCAATGCCGTTATCACATTTCATTTATTGCGCGAGATTTGGACGGGGGGGGGGGGGTAGGGGGTAAGATCTGGATTGTTGCAGTGTGTATTACCAAAGACGGCAGTAAACGATCCAGCAGGCTTATCAAAAGACCTTGTAGATATGCACAATTCAATTTCCTTTTGGTTCTCTCCTGCGAACGTTTTGCTGCTCCTTGTTTACCTCTCGACAGGTTGTTGTTGGCTGCAGTCACGGTATGAAAGGCAGCGGCGCTCCAAAGGTTCTCCAATTCAAGCGGCCCAGCTATCCTCTCCCGGCACTGTGGTAACCCACTGGCTCGATCTACTATGAGCTCCACGCTCGACTGCTGATGTTCAACTTTTTACAACAGCTACTCCATCGTTTCTTATACGAATACGCCTTCTGTCTATCAACAATATGGCTTGTACGGGCTCAATGGCAGCTGACAAAAAGCGGATCGCGACTGGTACCACCAGCCTGGCCGCCAGGAACTATTGACTACGTGAAAACTCAAGTAGCATCTCGATCCACAGCTCGTTGCTCTCGGTTGGTACCATGGCAGTTTGCCCGCTTCGCTTTTTTTTTTTTTTTTTTTTGCAGAGTGGTCCGCCATGCACGTTGAGATCACATATGGTGGTCTAACGTGAAGTCGATTCAGAAGGCAGTTATCGTTAAAGGGTTTTGTTTCTCTACCTGTGATAGCATGCGATATCAGACGAAGAATTTTACCTCGCGTTCTCAGTGGCTAATCCGATTCTGTGCGCGATATAGTGGCACGACCGTCTTTGCCATTCATCTCGAACGTGCCATCGAAACAAATCATCTTAGGCTTCATGTGCATAGCATATAAAGGAGCCGCCAGCGCATCTGACCTAGTCACTGCGCGTTTCAGACTCTGCTTGTGTGTTTTAGTACCTGCTTGTATATACGCACCGTTCGTACATTAGCCATTTGCCACAATGTCGTGCCAATTTCGCATTCTAGCTCTTCTATTCGACCAGCCAGTGTTTAGCGTGTTTTGAAAATTAAGAGGTACATGGATTAGCATTGGAACAGGAAAATTTCACACGACATCCATCGAAGCTAGCGCCCTCTGCCGCCCACGCAAAAAGCAAGCCGGCACTTACGCGGTGCCCAACTTTCTCTAAGGCGCGTAGCTTCTTAGTTCCCATCGACGACTCGATACTCCATCTAGCCGCAAGCCATCATAAGCCTTCTCTTTCCTTTGCTACTGAAATCGACGTCGCCGGAGTTCGAGCATTCGCTCGTCGACGTTTTTGTTTTCGTCGTGTGCTCATTTTGGTTAGGCGCCGAAGTCATCACGACGGGATCCGGCCTATACATCCTTAATTCTAGGGAGTCAGCAAGAGTGGGCATGCAAGTTGAGACAGCCCTGGGGCACTTGCAGGGTACAGTACAGGGCAAACAGTTTGCCCGTTCCTTTGACTGTTCGTTTGTCGGCCACGGCTTCTAACATCATGGCCCCCGCCACCAGCATCGCTATCAAAGCGTCTATTGCTCCACAACCACGAAAGCCACTGCCGTAGTCGCAGTCGCAACCGTAGCTCATTCGCTTTCACTGTGACTAGCCCCTTAGCAGCGGCCAATCCGTTCGTTCGGTTGCCCCGTGCTCGCACACTCACGGAGCGCCAAGCGACAAAAGGCGACCACAGATGGATGGCGCCCTCTCCCTTCCGCGTGGCCCGCGCTCCCACTTGGGCTGGCGGCGACGCCGCCAGTGGCAGCGACAGCCGTAACAGCAACACGCAACATACAGACGGCAATACGGCACGGCGTAACGCAGCGTTCCAGCCAGCAGCAGTAGCAGTAGCAAGCGAACAAACGCCACCAGCAAACGCTGTAAACAGCGCTCACACAGCGCACTCGCCTCTCCGCACCTCGTCCAGTGCTACGGCTCCTTTCGGCCCCATCCCTGCCGTTTCAGTCGCCGCTGTTAGCTGCCCCTGTGGCCAATGCTGCCACCTTCGCAACTATCAGTACTACCATCACCCTGAGTACCGCAGCCGTTGTCAGCAGCAGCAGCAAAGCGATCTACTCCTCCGCCATCAACTGCAGCTAGTCTTGCTCAACGCTCACAGCCCGTTACAGACAGACTCTGCTGGCACGGGCGAGTACAGCCGCTGACGTCCACGGCTCACAGACAGGCCCACCAGGAGTCCAAACAGTCGAAGTAACAACCACTGGCTGGCTGGACCAGTCACTCACTCGCAAACCGCGCTAGTTTCTCGTCGCGGTCGGAACGTTGGCTCGCTCGACTCGCCAGCAGCTTGGCTTATAGTGCTCACAGCCAGCACGGAGGGAGTGCTCGAACGAGCAACTTGTCGTTGGCGACTAGTGGTCTCGAACTGAGCGCCGGTCATGTATGGACTGGTTACGGAGCGCTCGAGCATTTGACGCTTGCGTTGGTTTCAATCGAGTCTGCATTCACTGGTTGTGGTTGAACAAGCGAACGGAGAAGGCTAGTAAACGATGCCGGTTTGCAGTTATCACTACCTCGCTGTCAAACGCTTAGTGAGCGTATGCTATTAGCCAAAGATCGCCCTGTGCCGCCCGTTCGAACTAGACAACAGCAAAATCAACAATAGTGAAAACATACATTATCGTATCTATCGATAGCGACGACAAAAGTCACTCAGTGAAAGCGATAGTTGTTGTTGTTAAACACAGAGGAGGCTCATAGCAGATATCATCAGCTTGCGTCGGGGCATCCCTGTAGCTCCACCAAACCGTGCGCGCGAAACATCCGAGCGGGAAATAGCCGCTGTGTTCGCGCACAGCAGCCCCAGGACTTACTATAGAACAAGCGCGAGCAGAAGCAATCAAGCGACGACGTCAACATCGGCGCGACTACGCCGCGTCGCGGAAAGGCGCGAGGGGCAACCAGAAAAGAAAACGCCGGCGGCAGCGGCGGCGACGACAGAAGTCGAAGACAGAAAAAAGCATTTTGCCCCTTCCCTTTTTCCGTTGGCCGATCGCCAGCCAGTGCTGCCAGCCACCGCCGCTGCTGCCAAACACTCCTCCACTAATACAACGGCAACAGGCAGCAGGGGTCTTCGCGCTGAACCCCTCAGATTGGCCGTCAATCGCCGGAATGAACGTGTCTTAGCGAACTTGTCGGGCGCAAGACGTGAGACGGCAATATTCCAGCGTTCCCGCATGCTGGCGCTAGAAGCAAAAGGCTCTAGTGGACGAAACATTGGGCCAAGACGTTGGCAGGTCATCGCAGTCGTTCAAATCGCTAGAATCTGTCACTGGTCCACTTCAGTCCTTTTTTTTTTACCTGTATCTACCTATAAGTCTGCATATGTCAGTGCTTTGTGAGGCGGCGCCAACGACAAACACAGCAGCATCGTAAGGGCTAGGCAAGCGTAACGCTGGTGCTCGCAAAGCAGGAAACTCTCTTGCTGTTTTAGTTCGCGAACGGCGAGAACAATCGCGGCAAAGTTTTCACTGTCGCTGGCGAGTTTGTTCCGCTCAGCTCCTGCTGTGGTTGCTGTAGCTTTCCCGTCCTAGATGCTGTGTTGATTTCGCTTTTTGTTTGTTAAGAAAAAGCGAATAAAGGTCGATAAGTGGTAAAATCGTTATGACCAGTTAAGTTTTTCATCGCTGTTCGTGCTGTGACAGTTGCTAACGTTGTTGAACTTGACGGATAAAACAAAACATCTACCGGCGGTTCGATCGAATAGCTACAGCCTCGTACTGATTCAACTAAAAGTGACACGTCAAGATACGAGAAACGCGACTTAATGACAAGATCGCGCAAAGCAGAATCAGCACGCTAAGTGTGCAAACCCATGGGATCTTCGGAAGCGAATTCGCCAACCAGGTGTACGGGTGTCTGTGCTCAGCGTTCTATGTGCGTGAAACGTATTTGAATGACCCAGGAATTGTTTGTGGTTGATTATAAAACAGAGGCCAGAAGAAGAGGCCTGTCGCGAAACGCGAAGTGCGCGAACATTTGCCCTAAAATCACTTGTGCAACGTGCAGTTTATTCACTTCTTGGTTCATTATCATCTTGTTAGTGGTTTGTTTTATTAAACATAAGTTATTACGTTCTTTATTTGTTAATCTATTAAAGATGACGAAGAATCGACCAGTTAATTAGGCTGTCGCATCCTACCGAACCGTTTACCCTCTGGGAAACAAATATTCCACACATACACACACACTCACCCACACGCTTCGCCTCAAGTGCTAACATCTAGAAAATAACTTCAAGTTCTACCAGCACAAGTTGCTGTCGTCGCAGTTTCCTTCTTGCTGTATAGTTGACATGACTTCTATTTCACATTTCTGTCTCATGTCCGTGTTGTAACTGTAAATCTTGCAGACTTTTTCGTGGTCACCTCTTCGACTATCGCCTCGTCGTCAACATCCCCTTCTGTATATCCCCCGTTATCCCCAGTAACTTCAGGTAGTGGTCAGCACCCTTCGCAACAGCACGTGTTGGATATGCAGCTAGAGATGGCAGCTGCTGCCGCAATGTCCGGGGGTGCTTCCCTTATCCCCTTGCCCATTCCGTCTCCTCCAAACTCGTCGTCATCGACAGCACATATCGACCTGCCGAGTCAGATGCCCCCAGCATTCAAAATGGCCGGTCTAACCTGGTCCGATCAGGAGACCTATGAGCTGATCAAGATCTGGGCCGCCGACCGCGACATGCTTGATGGAACCTCGAGGAACAACAAAGTATACGAATCAATGGCAGCACAAATGAGAACGCTGGGGTATATGCGGACGGCATTGCAGGTTAAGGAGAAGATGAAAAGACTTCGCAAAGAATACAAATATGGAAAACGATCGAAGAAGATCGCAACATATCACGAGGCCCTGTCCTCGGTCCTGTCCGGTGGACCGTTCAAACCGTGTGAAATCCCATTAAGCAATCACCCCAACCCGCCGATGAGGATTGACAACGACCGCGAAAGTCTACCAGGATCCGAGGACTACCCGAATTCAGATCATGATGACGGTAAGTGAACATCGAGGTTAGCAAATTAGAATAATTACAGGTAGATAAGGACAAACCTAAATTGAATTTCTAGCTCTAAATGATACATCTAGTTATCTGGCATTGAAGAAAGAAAAGAAGCGGTAAGCTCAGCTGTACTTGAAAGATAGACATATCTGCCTTACGACAGCTTACGCGGACACAGAGACTCGACCGTGTTCTAAGCTTAGTCACCGACTTCCATCTCTTGTTGATGCACCAGCTCAAGAGACATTGCATGCAAATTCAAAAACATGAATAATAAACAAAGGCATTTTGGAACCATCGTTAGCTACTCGTTGTTGCTGTTCCAACCCATCCACTCAGTCTTTCCGCATTCAGCTGGGTCTGCCCAACCGACCGGCCGAAACAACTTTTTGCCGCGTTCCTCAGCCGCACTGGCTTCGGTGTTCGGCTGGCCAATCATCACAGAAAGAGCCTTCGCACTACTGACGTTCGTCGTAATCGTCAGAAGAAAGAGAAACCTTAGGGTCTGTTTTCCTCCGGGCGCCGGCACCGGAGCGAGCCGTCCTTCAAGGACGCCACCGTAGTTGCTGCAGGAACGTTGCAATCGCAGGCTGTCTCCTGCTACTGTAGCCGCCATCCGTTGCGCGTACCGCCAATTTGCCATTACGGTAGCGCTGCTACCACTGCAGTCAATTTTACTGTAGCTAAAAACAGCTTGACCTGGCGCTCAGGTGCTGAAACCGAGCGCGCGTACATATATATATATATATATATATATATATATATACATATATATATATCCTTGATGATGTGAGAACAGAAATAACAGTATTCGTAACGCGGCAGTTCTTTTATAGTAAAGCAAAGGCGATTGTTTTCTCTTCTACATTTATAGATCATCGGGGCATATCACTATACGCCAAAATCTCCCGAACATTCAATTGGCAATAGCCGAGCTAGTACCATCTGAAGCGTTCCGAATAGCCTTAGGAGCTAGAACAGACCCTCACACACGTGTCTCGCATATGAATCTATGTAATACTGCAAATTGCATCGAGCTATCCGCGGTTACGCATGTGGTACGCGCAAATCCTTATTTTTGGACATGGACTTATCTCTGGACGGAGACTTGATACACCCCCTAGAATAAAGCAAAGTGGAAGTTGACAGGCAGGCCTAGCTGAAATGCGGACATTTTTGTTAGCATCTTGATTCAGTTTGTTCATCTGTTTTTCTACTTCACTACTTTGCCGTCGGCCGGTTCGGCCTGTACATTTCCATTTCGTCTGCCCCGTAGCACATAGAGCATTGTAGATATATTGACGGAAGAGCACCTGATGACGTGAAACGTCCTGCTCGCAGGTGCTTCACCTGATCTTATCCTGCGCTTTATATCGAGAACAGCAATAGTAACAGCAAAAGCAACAACAACCGATAGTAAAGACGACGATATTAAAGCAATATGGGTATATATTCGATGCATACTAATAATGTACAGTTCACCCTCTACCACCAGCCTTACGATACTAATTACCAAGAAAATTTATTTTGCAAAAATAACGCTTATTCAGTCGGCTAACTTGTCCATCTGTGTTTGCGCAGTAACGCGACGCAATTACACATTGCTCAAAACGTATGGCACGGTTTCAAAATAAATCGCGGAAAAAATCATCAGTGGGATATAGTTTCAGGGAAAGATTTATCCTAACGCCCCAAAAGTGGTCCCAAGTTTTTACAATACTCCCTAATTATTTCCAATACCTCATATCGTGCCCACTATAGAAGATCCGATTCAGCTTTGTTTATTAGACTATAGTGCGCTAGTAATAGCTCCATATTCCAGACAGTCACTGGCAAACACAATGAAATTTGTTTCTTTTTTTTTTAATTTGCTGACCATACTCAAATTCATCGCCCTACAGCGCCAAGCGTCCTTTAAAGAGGGCGAAAAGACACCGCGAACGATAAAGGAAAACAACTCACAAAATACGGCTGAGGCTGAAACTACAACAATAACTAGCTTTGCTAAAGCGATCAGGTATCTCAACTTAAGTCGTTCAAGCAGTCGACCAAATGTGGCCTCCACGGCCCCTGTCGGTGTCCTGCCTATAATTTACGCACCGCTGCATGGCCTACAGGCTATGGCGGGCCAAACGTTGAAACAGCGTTATCGCCATAGTTGTCCAGCTTCGTCGAGGAGGACCATCGGAAGCATCAACCGCAGTGGCCGCGGCCGCGGCCACGGACGTCCGCAAAGACCAATGAATAGTTGCGCTGTGGCTGGCGACTGGCATTAAACATACAGCGACCACACGAGCCGCTACTGATTGACGGACAAACAGACCTACGCCTAATGCCTAGGGCCAGCGGCCGAACGATCGGCGCCCGGGAAAAACGCAGGGGTGGACTTAGGGACTAACAAACACTCAAAGTGACCGAGCCGTCGCCCTCGTCGACGACCAACTCGCAGAACAGCCACTGCTAGCGTTTGGCCCCACTTTGTGGATTCAGCCTGCTGACACTACGATCGCCTGTAGCCGCTTTTGCTATTGCTGCTGTTACTGGAAACTGCGTCAACGTTTTAGCGGCCGCGAGAGCTAGACTCCGTCAACGTTCCACGAGATTACAATTCTGTGACGGTGGCCGCCGATAGACTGGTCCTGGTCGGCTATGCTGACGTTGGGATCTCGGCAATCTCGACTGGGACGCCGTGGCTCGTTGAACGTTTTACTGGATAGCAAACAGTTTGAGCCTTTGCCGTCTAGCAGTAGCGGGCTTACTGAGTCACGGTAATTTTGCAACCATTGTTAGTTAGAGTTAGTGCGTTTGACTAGTTAGACGGGTTGTTCTGCAAATGCAAATGCGTTATGACGGGCTCGGTTCTAAGGCAGATGAAGGTTTGTTATTGCTACTGCTGCTGCAATGCACTTTCTTCCGCTTCGACGAATTCTCAGCAGTTGCTTCGCTACGCCTCGTTGTTGATACAGCATAGCCCTTGTTGTTGCTCTTGGTACAATGGTCGCTTGCCAAAGTCAGCCAAACATGGCTGTAAAACCATTTCGTCACAACTAATACTTCTACTCGCTACTACGCTAGACTATCTGCCAGTCCGCCATACTATACGCCCCCCGTGCCCTTACTTCTCGCCGCGCCGATACGAACCCTGAACTTCCAGAAGAACACGTACCGCCAACAAACAGACATAAACACACACAAACGCACATGACAGGAATAAACGGTCTGTACACATCCAGACAGACAGAAGGGGCGGCAGATACACAGCGAGCCAGCAAGATCAGAAGAACACGACAGCCATCATCAGCGCGAACGCCTGTTCTGTGTGTCAACCGGTCAGAATCAACCGGCGGTCACCGGACAGTCCATTGGGCGAACATCTTGTCGGGTAACTTTACCAACACCGCCACCACTGTGACGTTACTTCTATGGCGATTGCTTTATCTGTTGTTTGATACAGGTCTACCGGTGGCAACGGCAAGAGTAACAGTGGCAAACGCGTTCGACCTTGTGATCCCCGTCGGTGTAAGGCTGTTCTAGCTGACTTCGTTACTTCGCATGCTTCGTTTTTCTACGTCTGTTCTTTTTTTCGGTCCTCAGCTGGCTGTGCCGCGCTCGGATAGGCACAATGCGATGTCCATAGCCACGACGTCGGGCGACAGCAGTCAGACAGCTCAACGAAACATCGCAATCCACAGTCAGCCGTAACAAGCCGTCGTAGAGCTCCGAAGTCATGCCAAGTTTAGCTAAGATATACCACAACGGAGCACCTAATGGACATTTGCGTCGCAGGGGCAGCATCAGGCAGCACAGTCAATCGAACCAACGGGGAAAAGACAGAGAAAAACAGCCATCCAGTCGCTCGGCTAATCGCAGTAGGCAGTCAGCCGGCCACAGAGGTCCAGTGATATCCATGTTTATGTCCATCGGCCGCGCCATGGCCGGCTTTGACGGTCCTACAACCCTTCGTATGCGTCATTCGTTAGCCGTCGTTTGGCCGCGTGTTCGCTTCGTGGTGACGATAACTCCAACAACAACAAACTCTTGCCTGCTCGGCGTTGTTCGCCTTCCGACGCCCAAGTTTGCCCTTTGGCAGCAATAAGGCATTCACGTTGCAAATGCTCCAATGCGTAGCAAACCGATTCGGTTCATTTAGTTGCTTCCGCACACCAGATCTGAGTAGCGCAAGCCAAGTCAAAGCACTGGCAGTGACTCCGTGTCTTTTTCTGCCGCTGCTATGATCAAGGTAGCTGCGCTTTAATAGTAATAGCAGCAGAGCAAATGCTATGTCTTTTGTTGATGATCTTGCAGCCGCCGCCGCCGCCGCCGCCGCCGCCGCCGCCGCCACCGCCGATGATGGTGATGGTGACGACGATGAAGATCAAGGGAATTCGAAAAGAGGAAGAGAACCAAGATGATGTTGATGGGGCAAATATATAAAGGAAGAAAGAAAGACTCCCAGAACTAACGAATAGGGCAGGTTGAAAAGTAGGAGGAAAAACCAGAAAAAAAAACACCAATTTAGTATGACGACGAAGATTGCGGTTGCTATTTGTAGATGAAGAGTGTATACATATGTACATGTGATGTCCCACTGACGGAGAAACAATGTAGGGAGATGGACAAAGTGGACACCCGTTTCAGAAATCTGGCGAGCTGAAATCACGGTGTTGGTAGTCATGCCGGCAGAATGGTGGTAGCGTCAATGACGTTGGTGTTGACGCGGAACCCCGCATTTATATTCTGGTTCTTGCCTCCTGCACACTGAATGGATGTAGACGCGGTACGTTAAATGATTGGGTTATTTGATCTGCCATGCTAGTTACAACAGCTATAAGCTGGTACAGTCATTTAACAGATGGCGGATTCGTGCTGGGCTTTTAACTATGATGTGATTATGTCATAGAGTAAACGGAATGTCCTAAGCAGTCCAATTCAACAATGTAATTAGACAATATGATGCACGCTTTCGTTGAACATCATCACTGAATACAGATAGC